TATTTTAAAAAATAAGGATGCTCTCTGGCTGCCCCCCCTCCCCCCCCCAAACCCGCCACTGGGTCCCGCTGCGTCGTCCCCGTCCCCAGGGCGGCCCAGCCTGGCTCCTGCCTCGCGCCATCGCTCCAGCAGAAGACTGGGAGCCCACGCGAGCGGGGTGCGGGGGCTGCAGCCCCGTCTGGCGCGCTGGTGAGCCGAGGCAGGGCCAGCAGGCGGAGCGGGTTCTGGAGGGGGGGCGGGGGAGCCTTTATAAGCCTGGCAGGGGGACCCCCGGATGGAGTGAGGGCCACACCCGGGGAAACCAGCCTCCATCACAACACAGGTTGGGCCTCAAAGGCCATGAGAGCCCAGGAAGGCCCTGCCGGGTCCCCCACCTCCCAGGAGACAGGGAGGTGGCAACGGCGGGGCATCTTCAGGGGCCACTGGCGATCAGCCAAAGCCAGCGGCCGGCGGCCCGCACCCCAGCGATGGCGGAAACCCCGGCCGCTCCCGCCCTGGGCTTGGCTCCAACCCCACCTCCAGGGGCCTTCCCCCGAACCCGGAGCTGCCGCCTCGCAGCCATGTGACAGGCCCTGGGAACGGCTCTGGCCCGCTCGCACCCTGGCCGCCAGTGCTGCCCCATCGCCCCTCCCTGTGGGGGTCGCGCCCGAGGACCTTCCACAGAAGCTGCGGGGTGCCCGCAGCGGGCGGCCTCGTGCCTGTGTCTGACACGGTGCAGGGACACAGACGGGAGGACGGTCAGGCTCCGTCACAAAGGGACCGGGGGACAGAGCAGAGGAGCCGTGCCCAGCACGGGGGTGGCACCGCGGGCCCCAGGCGCCTGCTCTGTGGGGAACAGCACAGCCAGCGCGCCCTCGTGGTGTTAGGAGCCGATAAACCTATGAAAGCGCCATGGGCACGGATTAAAGGTGTAAGCGCGATGGAGGCGGCGTCCACTGCCTGCCCCGCGCAGCCCTGCCTCTGCTTCGTGTCGGGCCTGTTTCCAGGAGGAGGGTCTCCAACCTCACGGAGCGCGGGACTCAGCCCGGAGCCCGTCAGGCCGAGGGGGTGGCGGGGCCGGGAACCTGCACCCCCGGCCGGTTCCCAGGGCGCCACCTGCCAGGCCGCAGCCCACCCCGGAGTAGCCGGCCTGTGGCCGACTGACTCTCACACTGTCTGTGCACCTACACACAGCGAATAACCACAAGAATAATAACAATAATAACAAGACAGAGGACCACTCTCTGGGGACCCAGGCCCGACCCCAGGCCAGCGCCAGGCCGGGCCAGCTGAGAGGGTTGCCTGACATTGAGGCAGAAACCAACCCGGGACCCGGCTGGTTGGGAAGCGCCGAGACGCAGGCAGAGGTCGGGGAGCCGGGTGGTCCCATGCTGTGGGGGTACCTGCTTGTCTGGGGCAGCCCAGGCCACTGAGCCAAGCCAGGAAGTGCGCCTGGAAGAGAGGTTCCCCGGGGCTCAGCGTGCAGGGCTTCCCTCCGCGGCCGGCCAGCTGGCAGTCCCACGGCGGATGCTGTTATTGTCATTAACGCACGAAGAACCCACGGCACAGAGAGGCTGAGTCACCGGCTGGGAGCACACAGCGCGGACAGAGCCGTGGCTCTGGACCCCGCAAAGGCTGCGCGGCCCTCCTCCACTCGGTCACACTGCTGACCTGTCCCAGCCGCCAGGGGAGATGGCAGCGAGGCCGCAGCCCCGGAGCCGGGCTCGTTCTGAGACCCGTGCCCAGGCCTGGACCAGCCTCCAGCTGACCTCCTAGCCGGCCAGACTGCTTCCGCCTCCGCCAGCGGGGAGGCCGAGCACAGAGGTGCAGGGACTGGCTCCCCTCTCCCCTCCCAGGCCAGGCCCCTCCCGTGGGACCCTGAGGAGGGCAGGCTCCTGCCCAGAGCACAGGCACATCAGCCAGGGTGTGATCAGACTTCTGACACGGTCGCTGCGGGAACAGGAAGTGCCCCTCGAGACCCACCTCCTCCGGGGCTGCCTGTGCTTGGCCCCCTGTGCAGCGGCCATGCCCCCGCCCCCGGCCGGGTGGGCATCTGCCAGGGCTCCGTGCCCAGGTGTGTTACAGAAGCAACACTGGTTCAGCATCCCTGCTGCTCCCATCACCCCGACACCCCTGCCTCGGCTGCTCCGTTGTCCCAGCCCACCTCTCACTCTGGCCCAGGCCCCGCTGTGTCCCTCTGACCGGAGCGGCCTCCTCCCCACCTCCCTGCCTCCAGCCTCGCTCCCTCCTGCTCTCCTCCAGGCTGCAGCCCGGGGCCATCTCCCGAGGCCAGATCTGGCCCGTCCCTCCCAGAACCCACTGCCTGTGGTCCCTGTCCCTACCAGCCTCGCCTCGTATGACCCCCCCACACACACTCCTGAGGCCCCAGAGCTCTCCCCAAGATTGTTTCTTAATCCTCCAGGACCCCCAGACAGTAGGGCCACAGTCCCCATTTCAAAGCCCGGGAGCCACGGCCCAGGATCCCACAGTCCAAAGCAGCCGTGCCAGGTTGGGAACCCTACTCAGCCTGAGTCCTCCCCCAGGGGCCCCCTGCAGCGCCCCCACCTCAGGCAGCCCCATCTGAAGCCAGGTCGGGCCCAATCCCAAAGGGAACGAAGGGCTTTGAACAGACAGCCGAGTGCACCCAGCGGGGAGCCTCCGTGCTCAGCGGGGGGAGGCCTGGTCGCGTGGGCGATGCGGCTCGTCGGGTCCCCTGCAGAGCACACCCAAAGGGCCAGTCACCGCAGGAAACAGCCCCACGGCCTCCGGGACCGATGCCGGGCGCCCCACTGGGCGGGTGTCTCTGGGCGCCCCACCCGGGCCTGCCCTATGCCCGTGGGGAAGGCAGAAGCACCCCTGTTTTTGCACATGTGGAGGCTGAGCGGCTGCCCCAGGGAACATCCCCCCCAAACTGCCTTTTTCCTGGCGCACAGATGGGAACCGGCTGTGGGAGACAGTGGCGGGGCGGGGGTCGCGGAGAGCAGGACCAGCGCCGCCTCGCTGCCCGCCTCCCGCCCTCCCGCCGGCCTCCCGCCCGGAGCCCCGGAGCCGCTGTAATTCACTGAGACGGATAATCTCTCCCGCAGCTCCGCCCGCCCGGCCCCTCCTGAGCGCGCCCGTCATTCCTCGCTGGATCTCGCTGCCTCGCTCTGTGGAGCAGCCCCCGTGGCAGAGACACAGAGGCCTTGGGGGGGCTGGCTCCCGGTGCCATGAAACCCCCGGGTCGGCCGGGCCGGGCGGCTCACCCAGAGCCGGCACCTGCAGTCGCAGTTTCACGACCCCGCTGCACGCCTCCACCACCACCCCTCCCGCTCCATATGCCCAGGGGGGCATCCTGTGACCCACCGTCCCTGGGAGAGGGACTTGTGCAAGGTCGCCCAGCACGGTGCAGGGAAAGGGGGCCCCCCTCAGCTGCACCAGCTGTGCCCACACTGTCCCCAGAGCCCTGCTCATGCCCACGACTGTGCTGGCATAAGCTGCGGGTGTCTGGGGCCTGAGGCCGTCCCCTCTGGGACGCTCCGGGGGCCGGTGCTCTGAGCAGGTCAGCTGCTCCAGGGAGGCCCCACCCCTCCGCCTCGTGCATCCGGGGGCACCGAGGCTGGGAATCCTGGGGGTCCTTCCCAGACCCCCAGACCCTTCAGGAAGTCATTTCCGAGCGTTTCAGGGGAGTCCAGACCAGTCAGCCCCGAGGACACGCAGCTGCCGGGAGACAGGCACTCAGCAGCCTCCGGGGCACCAGGATCACCCGTGTCTTCCTGCCCCGGCACGCAGGTGCTCAGCAGGCCACGGCCGAAGGCGGGTGAACAAACCCCGTGCTGCCTGCGCCCCGCCTCGGCGGGGACGGCTTTCTCACGGGTCCCAGCACCCGAGCTGGTTAGAAAGCTCGCACCGGGCCCTGAGGCGTAGACACCCCTCCTCAGGCTCAGAAGGTGCTGCGCCACCTGCTCAGGTAAGAAGACAGCTGGTCGCATGGGCCGCCTCAGTGCCTGGAAGGGTGTGTGGGGGGGGGGGGGCGGGGGGGAGGAATGGGAAGGCAGCGGCTGTGCTCTCCTAGCAAGTCCCAACTTTCTGGAGGTTGGAAGTTCTCATGGGGCCGGGGACCCCCACGAGCCTGGCCTGGCTGGGGCAGCGCGAGGGGGGGGGAGGGGTGGAGGCTGGCAGGGCGGCCCCTCTGGCTCTCCTGAGTGCCAGCTTCCTGGCCACACCCACGGGATCACTGCTGGGGCCGAGGCCCCCGGGACACCCCTGACCCTCCGGGAAGGTCAGCAAACCTGCCCCCCGAGATTCTTGCTGTGCAGCCAGGCACACGGGCAGGCCCATGCGGGCTCACGCAGGCCCTGGCCTCGGACTACAGGGCACCGAGTGGGGTGAGACGGCAGAGCCGGGAGTGGGGAAGGCACCTGTGTTTGGATTTTTGGTGTCTGGAGTCTTTTCATTCCTGGAGGGAGGAACCAAACGGCAGCCTGGTGCTCCCCACCCCACAGCCTCAGCTCACAGACACGCGTGGGCGGGAGGGGCGGCCGCGGGCGCTGCCTGAGGCCAGCTCTGCCACTTGCTGGCTGTGTGACCTTGGGCAAGTGACCAAACTTCCCGAACCTGTTTCCTCCTCTGCCAAGCGGGGCCCCTGCCCCCTCCCTCAGGGGCTCCCCTGGCAGAAGGCACGGCCAGGTCACTGGAGGGGCTCAGCTCCTGGCAGCAGAGAGAAGAGGGGCCCGGCTGCTCTGGGAAACTTTCCCTCCCACTGTCCCTCATGCCAGGCTGCAGGAATGAGGAGGGGTCCCTGGGCACAGTGGGTGCCCAGCCTCTCCCTCAGGTCCTCGCTGCCCATCTTGGTCTCTGTCCACAGCCTCCTGGACAGGGGGCACTTGAAGGGAGCCCGAGCTGGGACGTGTGACACTGGCCCAGGCAGCCCCAGGCAGGCTGCCCTGAGCTCTCCAGGCGAGGTGGGCACCGACTGGGGGCTGCCCCGCCTGCACCCTCTGCTCCCCGCCCCACAGCCCGGGCACCCGCGCGGTCCTTACCTTCAACCATGGGAACGGTGCTGCCCCGGCCGCGAGGACTTGGGTGCACGTGACGGGGCGTCCGGCTTCGGTCCCAGGCAGCGAACCGCTAGAAACGGCGGCTCATGCCCCGGGCAGGGCTGCGGCGCCGGCTGGGCGGACGGGCGAGGCGGGCGCTGTGGGGGTCCCGGAGGCCGGCGGGGACGAGCGTGTGCCCAGCGGGAGCCCCCTGCCAGCTCCGGCTGCGCCCGCGGCTCCGAACACCCGGGCAGGCTCCCCGCGAGCAGCGCGCGGCTCCAGCCCAGTCCCCGGCGCGGGGCGCGCAGGCGGGGAGGCGCGCGTCCGAGCAGGTCGGGGAGCGCGCACCGCTGTCCCGCGCGCGCCCTCGTCGTCGGGGGCTGCTGTGCCGCCCGGGAGCTGTCCCTGGTGCTGACGACTCGCCGCGCGGGGCCGGGGCTGCGCGACCTCCCGGGCCTGGGGGCGCCGCCCCCCGCCCGCCCCAGCCCCTCGCCCGCCTCCCTGGCGCTCGGGTTCCAGGCCGAGAGGTGGAGTGAGGCTGGCTGAAGTGCGGCCGCTTAGCCACCGCGCGACCCGGGCCAGCCCCGCACTCGGAGGGTTTCCAGTCCTCCATAGCAGAGCCTGGAGGGTGGTCGGAGCATGAAATCCAACGACGCCCAGGGGCCCCGCGCAGCAGGAGGGCTCACCAAGTGCTCGCTTCTATCCTGGCACCCCCGTCGCTTGGTTAGCAACCACAGAGCAGGTGGAGAAGAGGCAGAGCTGTTCCGCCCTGGGCTGGCATGGGGGGGGGGGGGGGAGTTGGGGCTTGGTGGTGGCCTGGGGACCACGCGGGACATCCATGGAGAAGGAAGTCACAGGGAAGCACGTGGGGGCTGGTACCAGGGAGAGGTTTTTAACGCGAAGTCCTTTCCCCTGACAGGAGTGAGTGACCCGGACGCGGTGAGGGACCCCTGTCCTGCAGACACCCAGGAGGCTGCAGCCACAGGAACCTGGACTGAGAAAGATCTGGAATTTAAAAGGCTCTATCCTGGCCGGTGTGGCTCAGCGGCTGAGCGCCGACCCATGAACCAGGAGGTCTCGGTTCGATTCCCGGTCAGGGCAGGGCACAGGCCTGGGTTGCAGGCTCGATCCAGTGCGGGGCGTGCAGGAGGCAGCCATTCCATGATTCTCTCTCATCATTGATGTTTCTATCTCTCTCCCCCGCTCCCTTCCTCTCTGAAATCAATAAAAACGTATTTTTAAGAAACCGTTTAAAAGGCTCTGAGTGAGCGCACGTGAGGCGCTGGGACCCGGGCCTGGCACGTTGAACGTGTCCCTGCGCTCTCTGACAGCCCCTTGGGCCCGGCAGGAAGAGCCTGCTGCCTACCCCCATTCTAAAGCTGGGAATACTGAGGGCAGGCAGAGGGCGGAAAGCGACCTGCCCGGAGTCCACTCCGTCCTTACAGACGGCTGAGGGCAGAGGGTAGCAGCTCCGAGCCACACCACAGGGCCCCGAGGGTGCGTGCTCGCAAACCAAACACAGACGCCAGCGTCCGGCCGGCTGCCCCCCCTGCCTGGCCCCCTAGCGAGGGCCACTATCTAGGGGAGTTATCCAGGTCCCTTTCACCCTGGAGTTTCCTGCTCACAGGCCAGGCAGCACCTCACCTGCCCCTGGGCCTCTCCGTCCCTTCCAAGCCGATGATTAAGTCAGGTGGCGGCTGGGCCTGACTCACTAACAACTGTGCGCAGTCCGCTTCCACCAGACACTTATCTCCTGATAAACATCACTCCCGCGTGTTCCAGGCACAAGGCGCAGCCCTCCGTCCCTGCCTCACCCGGTCCCCTCAGCGATCCCACGAGACAGACCCGGGCGGGCTGGGTGTGCGGGGGATCACGTCGGGCTGAGGGGCAGCCGACCAGACGCGGGCTGGACTGCGTCCCAGACCCTCGCGCCTAACACCCTCCTTCCAGACCTCCCGCATTCTCCCAGCCCAGGAAAATGATGGCGACATGAGCAGAAATTCCATATAAGGAGAGAGAGAGGGGGAGAGCGAGAGCCGGGTGAGAGACACCAGCCAGCCAATCAGTACCCGGGAACGCTGTAAATCAACATTTTCCATCGAAGTTCCCATTATGACAACTGCGCAACTTTTTAAAATTTAATTCCAGGACGGCCGAGCTCCCGGAAGACGCACTTTGAGACTTTCAGCAGGTGCAGCAGTGCCCGCGCCTCTACCCAGCGGCTCCGAGCCTCGCGAGCTCTCCCGCCGGCGGCGCCGCTCACCGCACATGGGGTTTCGCAGCCGTGGGTCTGGGCAGCTGCGGGGCGCTGGGCTCTCCGGTGCTGTGTGGGGATGTGGCTCCTGGCACCTGTGACCATGGGACCTGAGCCCGTTTCGTGGAAACTGGGACCGAGTATCCCCCCGCCCACTGGACAGACGCCTCCCCTCCGCTCCCCATGCGGATGGCGCCCGAGGGGTGACTGGCTTACCCGGGGCCACAGGGCCCGCCAGGAGGACGCTGTGCTGAAGGGATCGAATTCGGATTCCGATGCCTGGGGGTCACCACCAAACTTCTTTGTGTGACCAAAGCCTGGCCTGATCTTAAGCAAAAATCCCACTTCCAACAACAAAAATAAAGGGATCACTGGTCTGACTTCACAGAGCCCCTCGGCACCAGGCCTCTCGAACAGCAAGCTGGCGCACAGAAAGGACGGGAGCTGTGAGGTCTTCCAGGCCCCGGGCGGACGGCCTGGCGCCTCCCCACCGGTGTGTTCTGTTCTGTCTGCGGCGGCTGCCACGTCCCCATCGCCAGCACCCCTTCCCTCGCAGCGCAGCGCGGGTACAACTCGGATCCAACAGATGGCGAGTTGGCTGAACACCCCGACACATTGGAACATGCCTGGCGTTCACAAGCCTTCGTTTCGCACGGAGGGCGAGTGGGACCTGGCAGATCCGCCCGGGGGGGAAGGGCAGGACCTCACGTCCACACGTTCCCCGGGGGCCAGTGGGGGTGCCCACAGGGAGGGACACGTTTCCCTCCAGGCCAGGCACCTGCCCGTGCTCACTACACGCAGTGACTTGAAAATAATCCCTGTGGCCGCGGGGACCACGGCCTTGTCGTCACGGCCACACACCACGCGGTCACATGCCCAGAGGAGCGCCCTGGGTGCTGGGGAGCGAAGGGTTCGTGCTGCTGTCTCTGCCCTGAGGAGGCCGCTCCAGCCCTGGATGACTGTGAGGTTTCAGAAGGGCAGCCAGCGGCCAGTCGGAGCGGCTGCCCGTTCCCCGGCCTCTGTTTCGGCCGCCCGCCCCGTGGATCTCGGGCACCGAGGCTGCAGTCCTCCGAGTTCTTCCCCAAACGGCCCTGGGCCCGATGAGCAGCACCTGCTTGTGGGAATGGCCGTGCCTCCGGCAATTAGTAAAGTAACCTTTACCCCAAGGGGTTCTGCCCTTGATTGAAGGGGCCCAGCCCCAAACGATCCATCCGGGTCAGGCCCTTTTACGGAACCGATGAGCCCGGCCAGTGTGGCCCGGTGGTTGAGTGTCAACCTATGAACCAGGAGGTCAGGGTTCGGTTCCAGGTCAGGGCACAGGCCCGGGTTGCGGGCTCCATCCCAGTGTGGGGCGTGCAGGAGGCACCCGATCCATGATTCGCTCTCATCATGGATGTTCTCTCTCTCTATTCGTCTCCTTTCCTCTCTGAAGTCAATAAAAATATATTTAAATGAAAGAACAGATGAATTTTAAGAAGATATATTGTGAAATGAGCCATGCCATGGTGATTATCTTGTGACGTTGGCCCCGCAGTGCACACTCACACCCTAGATCCAGGGATTTGGGCCTGGGTGTCTTCTGGATGCGACCAGAATAACAAGGCATCAAATTGTGTGTGTGTGTGTGTGTGTGAGAGAGAGAGAGAGAGAGAGAGAGAGAGAGAGAACGCGAGAGGATTAGGCGGCAGCGCGCAGGGGCCGGGAGTGGGCGGGCGGGCGTGCATGTGAGGTTGGGGCGCACACGTGGTGTGCGGGGTGTTCCCACTGCCCTGGTTTGAAGAGACAGCCTCGCCTTTTGAACAGAATTGCTGCCACCTTTTAATTACTGCAGCTCTGAAACGTTGGCAGCGGCCTGATGCGCACATTCTTCGGGGCTCCACCAGAAGGACGGGGGGCAGGGGGAGGGGAGGTGGCGCTGAGGGAGGTGCTTGGGCCAGTGAGGGTCCCTCGGCTCCTTCTGTGCGTCCCAGCCCCTCCCGCATGTCCTGCCGGGTGGGGAGAGGACAGAGAGACGAAGGCGGGTTCACCGTGACAGGTCCATCCCGGGGTTCGTTTCTCGGGGGAGCCCTCACAAAGCACCCGTGATCTGATCTCCCTTCCCAGCCAAACGCTTCCCACGGCTCCAGCAAAGGCAGGCGGCACAGTCACTCCTTCACTCCCTCACTCCTTCCCTCCTCCATTCACTCACTCCTCCCTTCATTCACTCCTTTATTCCTTCATTCATTCACTCCTTCACTCCCTCACTCCTTCATTCATTCACTTCTCTATTCATTCTCATTCACTTCTCTATTCATTCGCTCCTTCACTCATTCACTCCTTTACTCACTCCTTCACTCCCTCACTCCTCCCTTCATTCATTCACGCCTTCACTCATTCACTCCCTCACTCCTTCACCCCTTCACCCGGCCCTTCATTCCCCGCGCACTGTGGGTGCAGAGAGAAAGGCCACACCCTGCTATGGGAGCTCGGAGGTGGGCCAGGTGTCCGAGGGCCTGATGGGCGGGGCTGGCCCAGGGCTCTGCTCAGCGGCTGATGTCTCTGGCGCTTTTCATCGTCGCGCTCTCCTGACAGCCACGTGAGACGAGAGCCTCCACAGGGCCCACTGGGGAGGGCTGCAGGGCCCGTTTCTAACCCACCAGAGAAGCCTGGGGAGTGAACCTCATCCCCGGCCCCCGCCCAGCCCCCCTCTGCCCAGCCCGTTCCTTTTCTTCCCTGCCCTGATCCTGGGGCGCTGTCTTGTCCGCCGGCTCCCTCACCCCTGCCTGTCCTGGAATGGACCACCCACTGGGCAGAGCTGGTCTCCCTTGTTCTCTGCCCACCACAGCCGCTGTTTGTTGAATGAACGAAAGACCTTTGCACAGGACAGTGCTGGCCTGAGGCCCGGTACTGGGCCTGGGTTCTCAGAAAGCTCCCTCTGCTCCCGATGCCCCACTCGGAGACCACTGGCCACCACGCCGCTTCCTGTCGGACTGACAAGGAAACTGAGGCAGGGAGGGCACGAGGCTGCCCCAGATGCTGTGTTAATGGCTCTCAGGGTAACTCCTGGCCCAGAGCACAGCCCCCTAACCCCCTCCCCCCCCGCAATGGGCTCCCCAGGTGGAAAGGGCCGAGCTACGATGGCTTGCTGACACAGAAAATTCCACTCGGTAACGCTAAGCGAACCCAGGGAAGATGTGT